AGCCTTGACCTTGCTAACAAATTGGATTGCAATCCCTCGCTTTACCCCCTCTCAACAACGGACTTGGCTTCTAGATCCTGGGCGGAGAAGAGCCGCTCGAGATCGAGACTCTCTTCTCATGCAATCCCACAAGCGTCCCGGTAACCGCTTTTCCATCCCGGATCGGTTACTCGTTACTCGTGCGCAAATCCATTCACAGTAACGGTGGAGGGTGGCATAACGAATGCCGGCCTCCCCTCGAGTGTCTGGAGCTGGTACGGCGGAATAGCCAGCTGAGTCCTGATTGCAACGTGCAGACAAGGCTTTGATATGAATCGGAGGCAAGCTTTCTGACAGGGAGGCTTGCCGCTTACGCTTCCCACGCTCCGAGGATTGCTGGTCCTTGGCATAGAACAGCTCACGGACCCATGGTAGCACGTCTCCGTGAGTCCTTAGCGTGTTGCCCTCCTCGGCGTAGTCGACAAGCTTTGTCAAACACTGGTATCAAGCTCGTAATGCTTCCTATTGCCTGGATTTCGCCAGCAATGAGGCCCTTGGCATGGAGGCCCGGTGCACCGCATAAGGCTGTAGACTTCCTTCCAGACAGTGGTCATGCCCGAGGCTTCCTGTTCTTTAACGAGTTCGGCCGTTTCAGCAAGTTGTAGAGTCGTTACTTCTCCTCGCCTCGTGCCCTGTCGCGTTTACAGCATCCGGTGGAGTTGCTTCCTTGGAACGAGATGTCGACCCTCAGTCTTTTCCCCTCACGGAGAAGATGACTCCAGGCCATCAGCTGTTGATGATAGTTGTTCTTGGGTTGTGGAGAAGCCACCGCTCGCTTATACCCACCTCTCGCTTATAATGTCCGTTATTACGTTGTTGAAGTCTCCAAAAAATGACCACTTCCCAGGGCTGTAGGGGAAGGCAGAGATGTAAAGGAGGGAGGGGAAGGCGATGATTTCGCTATGAGGGGCTTCCTCTAAGTGGGAAAGTATTTCCCTGACGGGTGGGTTGTCGCCGAGTGCCGCATTGCGGAGGGCAGGAGGTGGTTGACGTTTGACAAGGAGGCAAAGCCGGTTTGGTGTAAGTCCTGAATATAACCTGGACCTGACTTGGAGATGCCCGGTCATATGCCCATTACTCCCGGGAGAGGGTAGATCAGGGGAGCTTCCTGATGTAGGGACCATTGCATGAAAATCAGGAATTGACAAGACGGTGGTCCTTGGACCTCCAATACATGCAAGTACAAGGAGCCGCGAGGAGTACTTTGTCAACCTTGTTGGTTATGCGCCTTGTTTATTGATCAATGACTATGGCGCTAATACAAAGGGAGAGATGATCTCAAGGCTCTCCAATGGGGCATCC